ACGCTTTCTTTAAATGAGTACATGGCACATTGTTTAATGTTCACCTGCTACTTCAGGTTACAGTGATATATTAGTCATCATAAGAGGCTGAGGACATTTGTGCACCTTCCTGAGATAGTCTCTTTGCTATGCCACTTCTGCGATGGGTTTTGTTTTCTCTAATTCCCAGTCTTCCCATTGGTTATTAGCTATCATCTTTCAGTGCTATTCATGTGCAAATTGTAGAAACAAACCTCATCTACTTACATTTTTGCAAATATTTTAATGGTTGTAGCTCCAATGAACTGCATTTTATAGAACTGGGAAATGATAATAAAAAGTGGCTGTCATCCAGCCTGAAATACTATTTGGCTTTCCAGTTCATATACTGTTAGGAAGACATGTGTTTTCTGTATAAAGTTAAAACTTTTTTTGCTTTAAATCTTAGTGCAATACTAGCATCCCAGAAAGCTAAAAGTTGTATTTAGCTAAGCTGTATTTATTATTTGTCAAGTTTCTTTTCCTTCTGGCTTTACCTTTTTTTCAGAGGAACTTGAAAGAATAAAAACTTTTAGAAGCACGAGTGACTAGTAAGTTCTAAGTGTGAGCTTAGATTCTCTAAGAGAATCATTGTTATGGTTTGGATTTCAATGTCTACAAAGCCCCAAATACTAAGGATTTGGTCACCAATCTATTGGTCACCTATTGGAAGGTGGTGGAATCTTTAGCCGGTGGAGACTAGTGGAAGGAAGTGAGGTCGCTGGGGGCCTGTCCTTGAGGGGACCTTGGGACCTCCAGCCCCTTGTCTGTTTGCTTGCTAGTTGCCCTGAGATGAGATTCTGCTGCCATGCACTCCCTGCCATGATGTTAGCCTGATTACAGCTCCAAAGACAATAATCCCAAGTAACGAAACATCTGAAACTGAACCAAAATAAACCTTCCCTCCTTTTAAGTAAACAATGCTGGTATTTCATCAGAGCAATACAAAACCGACCAAAACACTATCATCACAAGAAATAAAATGGATTTAAATGGAGGAAACTCCAATTCATTAAATTATGTTTGCTTTCTTTACCAAGAAAAGTTATTTCCTCTAATGCATTTTTTTTCTTTTGTTTTTTTTTTTGCATTTTTTTTTTCTTACAGGACAGTAGGAAAGACATTCAGCCAGTGAGTACATTTAATTTGTTTCAAGTGACCTTCTCTGAATTATGTAGTACAAATTAACTATTCTAAGGTAATGTGAAATAGGAAGAAAAGGGGCAAAGGGAAAGGAAGTGGGAGGGCTAGGGGAAAGGATAGAAGGGAATGGGATTAATATGAGAAAATGGAAAAATAGGAACAAAATCTTTGTAAATAGGGAGGACTGGAGGGGTTGAAGGGAGGGCTGGGCAAGGGTGAAAAATAAGAACCAAGAGAGACTATGTAAAGGTGCAAATTTCCAATGATGAATGTCATTATATTGTATACCTAAAATGTACCAATGATTAGAATGAATAATCGATAATGTAAAATAGGAAGAAAAGGTCCAAAGGGGTAGGGGTAGTGGGAGGGGCAGGGAAAAGGAAAGAAGGGAAAGGAAAAATGATAAGAAATGGAAAAAATGGAAATAAAGTCTTTGTGAATAGGGAAGTGTGAAGGAGGTGAAGGGAGGGCTAGGAATGGGGAAAAAATAAGAACCAAGATGCATTATGTAAAGGTACAATTCCCAGTGATGAATGTAATTGTGTTGTATACCTAAAATGTACCAATAAAAGAATTTAACAACAAAAAAAATTAACTATTCTGTAGCTCTCCAGATCCTAGATAGCTGCAAATATTTTAGGTCACTATAGAAGATTCAGGGAGAGATGTCTCACAACAGTTCATACTAAAGCACAATGGACGTTGATGGTGTTCAGGGCACATCACCCCAAATATGACACTCTGGCCTTTGAGACAATAGCAGAAGCAGGAAGGTCTCACTCACCTTCCCCTCACCCCCTCTCTCCAGAAACAGGCCCTACCACCTGGATAACTTCCATCACAAGACCCTTTGTGTTTGTCAGTTTTCTATTGCTATGAAAAAATAGCCAAGACAGTCAGTTGAAAGGAGAAAAGATTTATTTTGGCCACAGGCACATATGTTGCTCCACTGTTCCTGGGCCTGTGGTGAGGCAGAGCAGCATGCAGGGAGTGTATGGTGGAGCAAACGTGCTCAGTTCACAGTGGCTGGGAGGCAGAGAGGGAGGGAAGGGTGGGTGAGGGCCCGGACATACTCCTCAAAAGCACGTCCTCAATGACTCACTTCCTCCAGACAGGCCCCACTTTCTAACGGTTCCTCCACCTCTCCCCATTTACCATCAACTGGCCAAAACCACATGGCCTTTGAGGAAGGGAGCATTTCATAACGAAATATAACACTCTCATTCCAGAGGGATTCTCCCCATATTCAGAAGAAAACAATATCCTTATTTCTGAAGACAGAAGAGCACAAAGAAAAATCTGAACAAATAGCCTCACTTGCTAAGTTTCCCCCAGTTTATCACAGTTCAACCACACCCTCTTTGTCCATTCACACTTCTGCATGGCTGTCCAATCTCCATCAACCCTGAGCTTAAGAATGCACAGGTTTCACAGGGAGGTAGACTTTGTGGAGATGGGAAGGGGATCAAGGGATGGGGAGTGATGGGAGGGAGGAAAGGGGAAAGGAAAGAAAAGGGATTAAGATGCAATATGTATGTGTATCAATAGCCCATGGTGCATGTATTTATTGTGTATTCCAAAAATGTACTAATAAAAAAGAATACCCAGGTTTCCCTGCTTCTTTGAGTCTTCATTTCTGAAGGCTTCCATGTTAGGTAAAACATACTAAATAAAAGCTCTATGCTTTTTTTCTTAGTAACCTTTTTGTTAAGTGGTTTCAGCTATTGCTTAGCAATAGGTGAGAAATGATAATACTTTTTCTCTCCTACACCATCAAACTTGACCCAGTGCAGCTGAGAGAAATATTTGACTATGCTTCCATGTAAGTCCTTGACCTTCTTTGTCAAGCTGTGTAAAGTGAATATAGATAGCCAGCTGCAATAACTTACTTTGTATTCAGTTTGAACTCTACAAAATGGATGATAGTGATAATTTATTTAAAAGATAAATTTTTTCAAATGGTTTACCTAGTGTTTGAATTTGTTGAAACTCAGACCTTTACATGTGTCTCAAGGACTATCAAGTTCTCTTACAAACAGCTGGGGGTCTAGCTCAATGGCAGTGTGTGTGCAGAGAATGCACAGGGCCCTGGCTTCAAGACCCAGTGTAAAAGGGAGGGAGGGATGGAAGAAGGGAAGGAAGGAGGGAGGGAAGGTAGAAGAAAGGAAGGAAGGAAATCAAATTATAACAAAACCAGACTGAGAAGGAATCAATTGTATGCAAAATCTTTTTAATGCTAGACATGCATAGTGTTTGGAAGTTACAGGCATTCAGCTAGTTTCTGACCAAAAGAGACAAGTAAAATGCATTCCTTGACTTCAAGAAATGAAGAGAAGAATAGCAGAGACAGATACATGAAATCAATGTAAAGGCAGTGTAACATGTGCAAGGGTAGGTTAGCGGTGGCGCAAAGGCGTCATTCCTTAGTGCATGGGTGGTCCAAGGCATGACAGAAGTAAAGATTTCTCATCTGGGTTCTAAAGAACAAATAGGAGTTCACAGTCAAATATGCAGAAACATCAAATATGTAGAAAGAAGTGCATCTCAGAAAAAGAGGGTAGCATACTCAAAGCATCAAATTGAGTAGTTTGGGGGAAACTAGAAGTGTTTGCCATGGCTAATGGGGAGGATATGTGTAGGAAACTGGAGGTAAACGAGTTTGTAGTAATTAGGAAGGAGCCAAATTAGGAAAAACCTTTTATTTTATTCTGAGGATTTCTCTCTCTCCTACAGTGAGGAGTCACAGAAGCATGTTAAGCAGAGGAAGAACAACATGCCTCTAGGTGGCATAATATTATTTTGTTTATTCTTATAGCAAAATGCAGTTGACTGCTATTTCTTGGTAGGGATAATATTTCAGACAGATGAACACCTGTCACTTAGATATGTCAATGAGACAGGAACAGTGACCACATTTTAGTCCATCCTTTGCCTTTTCAATTCTGTTTAAAAAGTGACTATCATACACTAAAAAATTATTTAGTCAATAATTAAGTCAAGTCCACCCACAAAAGCCCCTGTAGTTTCTGCATCTGAGAACCTCAGAGCCAACTTTCCAATCAACCCCAAACACTTTTCACTGACTTTGAAAGGAACCAACTCCAGGACTCTAAATGCAATTTTAATGAGTTTTACCTTTTACTCTGTCTTAGAGCCCATACCAATACCAATTTTGTCACACACTCTCCCCAAGTCATCTCACAAGACAATCTAAGAAAAATTTTACTATGCAAATGAGACCTCAAGTCACCCACTGGGTATTCCCGGACAGGTGACCCAAAAGCCTTGCTCTATAAAAAGTCCTGAGCATCCCACCATGCAAGGGCACCACACAGAAATGACAGCAGCAGAGGTATGCAAAGCTGTGGTCAGTTGAAGAGCAATGGCAAAGGACTAGCCCCAAAGTCAATCCACTATGTCATTTATAACAAATGGGAAGGTTTATATGAAAAGGTTGCCAAGTGCAATTCATTAACCAAAAACTGTTACTACGTGAAACCTAATTGTAAAACCAGAATAACAATAGTGACAATCTTACAAGATTATAGTGAGAAATTAAACAAATAGTACAACAAAGTGCTCAGAATGTATCTTGGCATATGGTGCCCTCTCTATAAATTATAGTAGCATTGCTATTATATCTGACAAATGGCGAGCACTCAATAAATTATACTATCATTATTTTTATATCTCATAACTAACCTCTTTTCAACTACTCCAAATTATAAACCTCAAACATATTCTCACTGTGTCAAAGAATATTTACACAATAATGCAATGAAAATTAAATAATTCTTAGACTATTTTGAGAGAAAAGATTTACAATGTTTCTTTACCTCTTCGTATCTGTCAAAAACTGCTCCTTCTTGCAGAAAGGAAGGAACTTCCTTCTGCCAGTTAAATTCATAAGGTTTGGCCATGATGATATTCGAGACCTGAAACTGAAAAAGAAGTCATATTACTGTATGAAATTAAAAACAAGTGGGCTGGGGATTTAGCTCAGTGGTTTCACCACTTGCTGCGAAAGTGCAAGGACCCGAGTTCGATCCCCTGTACCAAAAAAACAAAACAAAACAAAAACCAAAGCAAGTGGCCAAGGTTACTGGGTCCGAGGTTAGCTGCTTTATGTTCATGTGTTTGCAAAACTATTCCCTTTATATATGAAATGAATCTTTTCTTCTTCCCTTCATCTGGCCCAACTTTCCTTCTCCCTGTCTCTAAACCTGGAAACACATCATCATTCACTCCTTCTACACTGTAAAACAGGTCTGCAGAGAAGAACAGACCTGAAGACCCCTCAGTAACCAACTACAGTGTTAGTACGATTAAAAAACAATATGCTGAAGATTGGAGGTGCAGCTTATTGGTTGAGCACAGGTGTAGAGGTCCTGGATTCAATCCCCAGCACCCCAATTGAAAACAATGCGGTGGCCTCCATGATTTGCCGGACTGCAGAGAAAGACAGCAAAACATCTGTCTTCAGTGGATCTTTACATGTTCTCTGATCTTCTCACTCTTGCTAACCATCCCTTTCATGTTTTTCTTTCTTTCATTTTAAAAAAATAGCAACACAAAGCATCTGGTTTTAAAAGTTCATATCAAAGATGAAAAGAGAGCCTTTGATCTATTTGTATCATGTTCTTCCACTGGCTTAACTTTGGCTCTCCAGGACTAATATTAGTACACAGTACGTATATGATGCTTCTCTGACCTCATGACTATCCAATTACTAAAATATTCACCTCCCCCTTCGGCACTAATTTGATCAAATGCTTCCGAGTTTGGGGAGGATAATGGGAGGATATGGGATTTGGAGGATGATGGATATTGACTGTAATCACTAATGCAGACCTGCAGTGGAGGTGGGAACCACTTTGTTGCTTGAGGTTCAGAACAAAAAAAACAGGCACTTGGGAAAATGATGCTGAATTATTCCAAATTTTCCTAATTTTATATTCAGAGGAATGGAGCGCCGGTTTTTGTGCTGTCTCTGGAATACTTCCCAGGGCGTGCCTTAGAGACAAGTGGCTGGCTTATTTTACAAGGGTGGTAGAACTGTGACCTACAGATTAGAAAATATTGACCCAGTTAACACTGTATTTAACACAAGTTTGACCCAGGTAATTGATTTTAAAATGGGAAAAAAAGAAGGCTTATTTTCCTATCCAAGTGACTACAGACAAAGTTAACAAAACAAATGGTCACTTCTTTTTAAGGGCATGGAGGGCGGAACCAGCCACTACACCCTCTTTGCAATCATATCAAATGCCTATCCTTAGCTAACTGCCTACAAAATGCTTTCACTGTGCCAGGCCCAAGGTCTGTCTTCTCGAGTGTTCCAGCTTACCCTGTGGTGAGGTCTCACTTAGAAGACAGGAGAGATTTCACTGCCTCTTCCCTCCTAGAAGGCACCACCTCACCACACGGAACCTGCAGGAAAGGAGCTCTTGCTCCCTGAGGAGGAGATGGTGAGGAGAAGGGAATTTACACAGCCAAAGAACTGACAGATAGCCCAGCACCTTCTCCAGTGTAAACACCTTGGGCAGCCCCTGGATGGAGGCCAGCAGGCCCTTAAACAGTCTCATTGTTTCTAGATTCTTGTGAAATGCTCTTGGCTCCACAAGAAAAACACCCTGGATTACAGAGAGTTTTAAAGGAAGGGGAAGAGAGAGGAAGGGAGTCCTAGGTGGCTTTTCACCCATGATATGGGACATAAAGCTCCTTCTAAAGATGATGATGAGACATTGGGAGAATTAGTAGGGGGAATACAGGAAGCCAGCTGGGCTGTTCAGGGTCTTGTATCACCCACAAAGAGGGCTTCCCATCAAAATGTTGGCAAACAACACTTTTGTTGTTATTTCTGGACACATGCCTCCTTTTCTAGTACAGAGTGAACAGAGAGGAGTATGCAAAATCAGGCATTTCTGAGGTACTTAGGTATGGTACCTTGAATATGGTCCCCCAAAATACATCCTGACTGCTGTGAATGTTGCCACTACCTTACAGGGAAAAGAAGTACTTTGCAGCTGTGATTAAGTTACACATCTTGAGAAGGGGAGATGATCTTGAATCATCTAAACGGACCCTAAATAAATCACAAATGTCCTTATAAAAAGGGAGCAGAAGGAGATTGGATAGGGACAGAAGAAGAAGAGGCAGAGAACCACAGCGGGGAAAAACTGGAGTAGTAAAAACAGGTCCCTTGTGTTGGCTGTCACCAGAATGTGGACAAGGCCAGAAACGGATTCTTTCCTAGAGCTTGGAGAGAACACGGTCATGAAGGCACCTTGATTTCCAATTCCTGGCCCCTAAAACTGTGAAAGAACAAATCTCTGTTGCTGTGAGCTTGTAGTTTATGACGATATTTTCAGTAGCTCTAGGAAGCATATGAACTGGGCTCACTGAAGCTGGACATCTTTCCTAAAGTACCTAGAAAGTTGCCACATCTATTTGGTCTGCAGTTAAGACTGCTCTAACTTGAAGGGAACAGTCATTTAACATACATCAGTGCTCACTAGAATAAAAAAGAAGGAAATAAAAGTGCAAGATAAAGTGGAATCTAGAAATGAATTCAGATAACCCCATCCTTCTATTCCAAAGTCCCATGGAACAGTTAAGATTACTTTGAGAGACCCTATCTCAAAATAAAAAATAAAAAGGCTCTGGGGATGTAGCTTAGTGAGAAGGCTTTGGGTTTAATCCTCAGTACTGAAAAAAGAAAAAGATTCATTTGCAGTATATCCTTTGCTGGGTTCCCAATGTCTTTTAACTGAAGGACCCTTGTTAGCAAGACAGGCTCCATATTGCTGCTTGACCCACCTGCCTGCCCTTTAGATGAACTCAGAAGGAGGAAGCTTAGAAACCTCCTCCCCTTAGAGAGTCTCTTAGAAACAACAATTAATCTACTATTGTTTTACAAGTGTTCTAAAAGCAGGACATTCCGCTTCTGTACCTTTTGCTTGCTTTACTAGTTCTATCCCATAGCGGGGGCTAGAAACTGTTGGCCTCAAAGGTGTCCAGTGCTCGGTAATAAACTCCAGCCGGTAATAAACTCCTGTGTGGATTTAATATCGGTCTCTGGTTGGTTCTCTCTCGCTAGGTGTAACATTAACAACTTTAGATCTCATCAATAAATACAAAATTTACATAAACTGTAACTTTTGCCAAGCCATCTAAGACATTCTCACTTTTTTATTTCTATTTGTGAACAAATTAATTTATTTGAAAAAGCATTTGCTTCTACTTGCTAATATCTAGCTTTTAAGTGAATAAAAATGTACCCTGTCACTGGAATTTTATTAAGTGTAACTTTTATTGTTTACCTTCAACTTTTTGACAAAGTTCCATAACAAATTAATGCTTTCCCCATCCACCATACAAATCCCATCAAACTAAATAAGCCATGACTTTAAGTGACCCCACAATAAGGGCAACCAAAATAGTTTTTTAAAGCAGACAGAATTGGAATAAAATTTCCACTGACTAAAAAAGTAAATTAGTTGAATCCATCAAATATTGCAGTGTCTTGCCCTTCAATCTTTAAATTCAGTATCTTATATTACTAAAAACAGATCAACAGCCTATCATCAGATCATATGGTGCCTTTAAATAAATGGCTTTACTTCAAGTAAGAATCTAATTTGACACTGATATATTGCATCATTAATCATAATTTTCCCCACTTTCTAAAAATAGCTCCATTTTCATCAAGCCATTAAATGACCTTTTCAAAAAGTACATAATGAGTATAGGACTAAGAAAATGATCATCAAGGGCCAGGGGTAAGGATGTTTTTAGACTTCAGTGAGAATTTTGCAGTACATTTCTATAGCCTTGAAAGGCCCAGATTCTGACTTAGTAATTGTACCAGTAGGATTTATCCAAAGTAAGTGGATGCAAAGTCAGTGTACAAAGATACTGTTGTGCTACTTATGATAGAAAAATGAGGGCTTCATAGAAACATAACTAAGCAATTGGTTAAGTACAGTCTACTATTTAAGTTCTCTGTACTCTGGGCTCATTAGAAGCAATGCTATAAAGGAATAGTTATTAGCTTAACAATAGCAAATTTAGAAGAGTTACTAAACATTCACAGCTTTTGTCAAGCAAATACAAATATTCTCAACATGTTGCTAAGCAAACAAAAAAAACAATTATGATTCAATTGTTTTGTGTTATACAGATACAGATATTGAGTATACACACAGGCATATTCCTACTTTTTTTTACAGGGGAAAAAGACTAGTAAGACATCAAAAGACAGTAATTTGGTAATGAGAGTTTAGGTGATTTTTATTTTGTTTAATACATTTCCATAGTTTAAAATACAGAAAATTACAATGACCATAATTTTTATATTCAGGAAAAATGCCCTCTAAAGTATTAGGAAGATGAAATTAAAAACATTTCTATTTATAAAAATCAGTTTTTAAATTATGTCTATGTTTTCCACTAGAATTCCTGGCAAGAACAAATACCAGGAAGAGGCTAATAAAGCTGTAAAATGTTATCTTTCCCCTTCCTGAATTTAAAACCTCGACTTCATGTTGGGAGTCTTCACATGTACCACATATGACTGATTCTTATTCACTACTTGATGAGGAGCTCCTTAGTAATACTGATTAAAACTTGCATGCTAACTCCAAAGCTTCTGCTGTTCTTATATTTGGAAATAATACTGCTTACATGAATTTATCTTCTGTGAATTTTGGACTACAAGCAACCTACGGAAGCACCACCTGATTCAAAATAATTTCTCAGAGTTTATTAAAATATACAAAGCGCACAGCCATAGCTGAGAATAGAAAGCAGACATCCACTATGTGTCTCTATCTCGCTCGCCCACCTCAGTATTCATTGCAATTAAGAGGAAATTGAACCTTTCTTTAAATCTAGTAATTTTTTAAAATAGATGGATAAAAATATTTAAAAGAATTGCTTT